AAGCGTGGCCGTGTAAAATTACGAGTGTCATTGGGAACGATGAATAGAGAAACCAAAATTAACTTCATGCTTAGCCATTTGGTAAGTGTTAACATGTATATGCCCCCCCCCCCCCAAAAAAAAAAAAAAAAAAAAAAAAAAAACGGAACCAAGTTAAATGAAATAGATAGGTGAGCATTTGCGAGTTAGCTACTGCCAGGAAAGTTTTCGGGTAACAGTTATCTAGATCGGAAGATAGGGTACTAAAGTGTCACAACAGAATGACTATGGTGGCCAGTGTCATCCATTTATGGCAACACAACTCTATATTGTAATGAGGTTCGGGCACAAGTGTCTGATATTCAGAGATAAAAGTATGAGTAGAAAGCTGGATCCAAGCTGTGATTGTTAATAGTTAATAAAATTCAGTCAGTTTTCAATTATGAGAGAAATTATGATTTTTGTGAGACAGTGGGACTGTGTGATGGAGCAGGACTGTGTGAGACAATAGAATTGTGTGAGACAGTAGGATTGGGTCAAACAGTATGATTGGTTGAGACAGTAGGATTGTATGAGACAGTCGTTTGTTGGAGATATTAAGATTGTTGTAGACAGTAAGATTTTTTGAGACATTAGGATTGTGTGAGACATTAGGATTGTGTGAGACAGTAGGATTGTGAGGCACAGGAGGAACAATTTTTGAAACTTTGTTTTAATAAAGTTATAGAAACAGACACAAGACTGCGAGGCCAAAAAAGTTCAACATGACAAAACGTTTCTTCTGTTGAGTTTCCACTACAATGGAAATGTAGCAAAATTGTTCCATGCTTTTGGAAGCAACCTGCGTCAGTGAAACTGGATTATTTGTAATGATAACATCTATTTCCAGAAAAGTAAAGGTTTGAATCATGAAAATTTTAAAATCTAACACATATGTTCTGACATCATTTGTAACTTAGTGGGTTATGTCAGTAGTATGGTTACTTGTGTTAATACTTCAGGATGCCGATTAAGACTTCTTCATTCTTCCACTTATTATCCAGGCACGCAAAGAAGAATACTCAATTCTGGTTAAAACTTACAGTACTTTATTGAACACACTTTATACTGATAATATTAATAATAATCCTTGCATGAATGTAATTTCACACATATATATATAGTATTCCATCATTCAGAAAGACACGTCCTCACACTGCTACAACTCAGCTCAACTGTCTCGTAACTCAGCTCTCACTCTACTGTTTTCCACTGCTCTGCACCCAGCCCTGACTATCTCAGTCAACTCATACTTTATTATCAGCAAAGCGTGGAAAACAACCGCTCTGACAAAAACATAATTTTACTCTCCAAAAACGTGGAGCTCACATTTGTTCTCAAAATACAATCCATTGATTGTCTCTCCTCGTGGAAAAACCTGGTCAACACAATTCACTGTTCACTCACGCTACCTCTCTGTTTTCTTGTGAAAACATAGTCCGTTACAGGCAGGTAATACTGACAATTCCCTCAAAATAAGAGCATGCTCTTACAAAGCTAAATATATCACCAAAGAAGTGCTACAGTTTTCATTCGCTTTATTTATAATTTTGATTAGCTGATAATGCTACTAACTATGGGCCCATACTATCGAATATATGACGCTATTCTATTGGATATATGCCTCTATGGTGTTGTATATATGACTCTTTATGATATTGGATATATGAAGCTTTATGCTATTTGATATATCACTCTTTATGATATTGGATATATGACTCTATGATTTGGATATATAGCTCATTATGTTATTGGATATAGGACTATTTATGATATTGGGTATATGAATTTTTATATTGGTCATATGTTTTAAGGCTGGCCATTGTAAAATCCTTCCAATGTATTATAAACTGGCCCTTGTAAAATGATACACCCGTTTTCACCAGTTTGCTCCTGCAATAGGAGAATCCGAGTAATCTCCCTTGTTATTATTTGATTCCGACGTGCGACAGCTCAAGCAAAATCGTGATTATTCATCCCCTCTCCCCTATACTTTTTCTGGGTAGAAGCTCGAACCCGTAATATTATACTTATATCATTGGATGGGAAAACAAACACGTTTTAAATGCAGGAGCAGATTAGAATATGTCCTTTTATGACCCTGTCACTTGATTTTGAACGCTGTAACCGACTATACTTAAGACTGCATCAGCGCGATCATTAGCTGAAACCTAGAATACTACCTGGTTGTATTCTTACAGAACCGACGCACCTTGAAGCTGGAAATAGGGGATCTTTTTCACGTCTCACAGCAAACTACCGACGGCTACGATAAGGACCTCGAGATTCAGGGACTCTTACCATCCACGATTTATCGCTGGGGAGGCTACATCCTACACCGCAGAGATCAACCTGAAACTCTTGGAACCATAATTTGCCGCCTTCTATGACCGGGCAGCCTACTTCGCTCCGCTTTTAAAAGCTTCGATGACTGTTAGAGACCGACCGAAGTTTGGCTTCGGCTTCGGTTTTGGTGACCGAAAGTGGCCATTTTATCCCTTGTAACCTAGTTTCGGTTTGGCCGAAACTGAAAAGTTAACTTTCGGCTTAATTTCGGTTTCGGCCGAAAGAGAAAACTTAACTTTCGGTTTATTTTCGGTTTCGGCCAAAATTGACTGAGTATTTTGGCCATCTAACAGAAGTCAGGTGGTCTGTCTGTCTCTATGCCGACGATCTGATCTTCATTTGTGATCGACGTCTTGCTGTCATTGTATGTTTTATAATTAATAGTCAGCGAAAGCTCCCATCAGCTGCCTGATGACCAACTTGTCCTGTCCTAAATTTCCAAGCAAATTACATTGCAATTAGGCCTAGACAAATGTAAACAATATAATGCAAGAAAAACTAAGGGAGTGGTAATATTTATATCAATATTTTTGTTTCAATTTTTCTTTCAAAAATTAATTTGGAACCGTAGGTTTATTCATTTCCTTCATTTTTGATACTCATTTTGATTTATATTATCACGTTCGTCAATGTTGTCATAGGCAAAGGTGAATAATATTGCATAATCAACGGGAAGGATACAATTTTCATTTTTATTTTAAAAAAATTTAATCTTAAAAAGCAAACTTAGGCTTTTTCAAACCATTCATTTCTTGGAATTCATCATTATCCTGCCCATAAACATTGTTATTGACGAAATATCATGTCTTTAAAACAAGGCAAAGCAGTTCGCGTTAAGTGTGAGTTTATAGCCCAGAGAGGTCTGACCTGCAAGTTTTTTAGAACCATAGGTAAATACAATTTCTTAACACAACTTTTACAGCGACATCCAGCTCCATTTGGCAAATTAAAACATAAGTTTAGAACAAGGGCTCTAGCCCTGTGGTCCCATTGGGTAACCATAATACGGTATTAAAATAAAAGCAACAATAATCTCGTATATGGATTTGACTTTTCTTGATGTAAATTATTTTTATAATATTTTTTTAAACTCTCTAAACTTTTCGAGGCCCGCAGTCTTTAAAAAAAGGTAGCTTAACAGTAATACAATTGTCAGCCATGGGTTAAAAAATATTGTCATAGTTAAAATGTTTGTTTCGGTATTCATCTTTATCATCCTCAACACAATGTCCCTTAGTCTTTGGACCTTCGGGGCACCACAAATGACATGAAAAGTATCCTTCTCCATTCCTCTTTTTTTTTCACTTCGCACAGCATCGCCTAGTCTTAGTCCCGTCCACTCGGGAAAAGGACCACCTCGCCGGTTTACGCAAGAGTTTTGCCTCTCAGTGGCGCAACTGACTAGTAGGGTAGACTTGACCACCTGAAGCTGAAAAAACTCACGTCACTACTTCTGTCTTCCAACGTGAAAAAAAAAAAGGGGGGGGGGATTACCTTTTGTTGTCCCCCTCTAGGAGAAGGTAAGAAAAAACAGCCTAGTCACTACACATTACACATCATTGATGACGTGTGCAAAATCAGCGAACTAGGGAGCAAGGTCGCAGTACAATGGATCCCAGGCCGTGGCAACGTCAGTGGCAACGAGAAAGCAGACAATATTGCGAAAACCGGGGCTGCCCAGCCTCACACAGATTTACCAATATAATATTTGGTAATTAATAACTGGCTGGCTGACCATTTACAGGACGAAATGGTACAGGCAATGGGCAGACAACACGACCGCCAGAGGCGTCTTTTCAATCTTGCCCACTCCTAGCAAACAAGATCATGGTGCGGGTTAGGCCGCCGACGGCGGAGCTTAGTGACGCAGATGCCCACCGAGTACTGCCCTTGCGCACATACTTGTGGCGACTGGATAACAACGGGGATCGTACCTTGCCGGCCTTGCAGCCTGGTCCCGGAGACGCCAACACACCTGTTGACCGAATGTCCCTCACTAGATCTCTTTGATGATATCTTCTTATATTTTTTTCTTTTCCTCTTCTCCCCCCTCTCGTTGTAACCTGCATGATTTCTTTAGATTATCATCGTTTCTCTTCAATATTTGACCAACTCAGCAGGGATATTATCCATTCGTGCGGCCTTTCCTATTTAGAGTGCTTGGACTGCTTGGACTGCTTCTTCCACTTCTGCGCGGAGAATAGGGTAGTTTTCATTTTCCGTTGTTGGGAGGCACAGGAACTCTGGGTCTATCTTTATGTCTTCCTTATGCAGTTCCAAGCAGTATTAAGTCCATCAATGTTACAAGATTATTTAAAGGGTCTTTTGTTAGATCGTTTACCATAAAGCCGCAAAAAATCAATTATTATCAACAGGCTAGCAACAAAATGACCTGATTAGGTGTTAATGTTTAACATCTTTAAACTCACTGAGATTTCTATATTTTCCTGCACTACGAGGGCGAAATAAGGCAGAACAGAAGCTTTGTCTATTCTGGTTATGCCTCAGTTGAAGATTTCACGCGTGACTTATGGACGGAACTGCATATTTAAACCATGGTCTAGATACAAGAATTTTTCAAGAAAACAACTTTCTATAGATGTATAAATAGAGTCGCCAAGGTGACACATCGTGATACAGAGTAAAGAGGCAGGCAGGGCTAAGTCTATTCTCTGATATCCACCAATTTTTGACAGGAATTAAACCATTTCGTAAGTATGAAATGTAGTGTTTTGTGTTATTAAATATCTAATATTATAATATATTTTCTTATAAACAGGCAATTTACCGTGGATAGGGTGAAAAGGAAAATAAATGTTAACTTTAAACAAAATAATTAAAAATTATCAGTGGTGAGTTAGGTATTATGGATCCATTTCAGCTTTAAGTTTTCTAAGACTGTAACATATCATATTAATATGATATTGTGTATCAACACGTCGGTTCCCAAGACACTTTTTATAATAGAATAATTACTGCTTCTTATTTTATTTCAAACATTGTGGTTTTTGTTCAAGTTTTCAAATACGATAGTCAGCAACTTGTATCCAATTCTGCTATTCTAGCAATTGTAATAACTTAAAAAAAAAAAAAAAATCAACTTTAAACAAATGTTGAGTCTCTAAATATCCTAGACGGTTTCTCAGTTTAGTAAGAAGAAAATGTTACCAACTTTATGAATAATTACTGCTTCTTATTTTATTTCAAACATTGTGGTTTTTGTTCAAGTTTTCAAATACGATAGTCAGCAACTTGTATCCAATTCTGCTATTCTAGCAATTGTAATAACTTAAAAAAAAAAAAAAATCAACTTTAAACAAATGTTGAGTCTCTAAATATCCTAGACGGTTTCTCAGTTTAGTAAGAAGAAAATGTTACCAACTTTATGAAATTGATGAATAGCCAGAACACAATCAAATAGCTAGGTGAATACTATGATCATAAAAGTGAATGAGGATCGTAATAGTATCCGTTCTTTCAAGAATTAACTCTCTTAAGTATCCAGTCTCTCGTAATCGTATCCAATCTCTCATATACAATATCTTAAGTATTTACTCTCTCAAATGTTTGGGGTTTGTTTTGATGCTATCATCTACTTGTTTTAAACTACACTTACCATGTATCTGGTGTTGACTTGATTCACCACTAATGCGGTTGAAAATGTGCCTTCTACAGCTTCATTAAACGCATTTATTTTGTAGTAGCTATTTCTACCCAGTAGAGTATGTCGCCTACATATGCCTGGTACTGCAATGGTTTTTATATATGTTCTCTGAAAATAGATTGTTATCGTTCAACTGGTGCTGAAATGTATACTTCAAACACAGTTTTATGGGTGTAAAGTTAGCGAGTCCCATTTTAAGTCATGTGTGTCATTTAACTATTCCTAGTAATTTGTGTCAGTAAATAGTTTAATATAAAAAAAGGTTTTGCATAATTAAGAGAGAATATGTTCCTATTTTAATGTAATGGAATTCTACTTAGATTTAAATACTGAGTTTCTTTTCTTGTTTACGATATGTGGATACAGGTGGCTCTATAGGAACTGTCGGCCCATTGATCAATATAAAGTGAATTATTAAACACAAAACATGGGTGCTGCCGATTCAAAATTAAATCTTCTTCTCATTGGCAAAACCGGAAGTGGAAAAAGCTCTTCAGGAAATGCCATCGCTGGGGAGCAAGTGTATGAAACATTCAGTACATCCACATCCTGCACACGGCGTGTGAAATCTTGCAATAAATTTAGATGGGGAAGACAGTTAACTCTGGTTGATACTCCAGGACTTATGGATACCTCAATGAATGATAATGAAATCGAACAATGCTATTTCGCCAGGAGAGTCATACAAGACGCGTTCAAAATACCAGAAACAGGATTTCATGCAATTATAATTGTATTGAATTATATTGAGAGATATTCCAATGAAGACATACGCGTAACAAACATGTTAAAAGAGATTTTTGGTACTAATTTGTATAGATTCACAATTTTATTATTTACACATGGCGATAATTTTGACCAAGAATATCGTACTCAAGATAATGCTAGAGCAAGCAAAAAGCGTTTCGCGGAATGGTGCGATGAAACACAGGGTGATCTCAGAGTATTACTCCAGCAATGCAATTTTAGAGCAGTATTATTCCATAATAACCCTAGTTACCGTGGAGACAGAGATGTAGAGTTCTTAGAGTTATTGAGACACGCCGAATGTATTAAACGGTCAAATAAGGAATACACAAAATCGAATTTTGCTGGGGCTCAAAGAACCAGAGATAAATTAATTTTGACGACATGTCTCGCAGAGCTGAAAGCTAAAATCAATTCAGAGTTACGAACACTAAGACACGACTTTGAGCTCATGAGGTCACAGCGAGGAATAATTATTGAAAGAGCTAATGAGGTCTTTGCGGCTCTCTCAAATAACAATGTAACACCATTTCCTAATTCGAGTCAAGTTTTTAATGCAGTCACTAATTTGGTCACTAACTTTAACGACAACCTCACAAATGGAGAGAAGTTCAATATCTTAAATCAGCTGCAGACAATCATTGACTGTCCAAGCCTTCAGAAACTGAAGCTACTAAGTCAAGATGTTGAAATACTTCTGAGTCCGGAGAAACACAAATTTCAGTTAAGAAGAAGAATAAACGAACTGTTACAGCACATCGAAGAGGAAGCACATGGCACTGACATGCTAGAGGATGAGAAGGAGATGGTGACATTCTTTCTGTCTGAGGTTGTGTCATTTGACATTACCGCTACGACAACCATTGAGATACACAACTAAGTAAGTTTAAGAATTGACTTCCATGTAACTTGAGTGATGTTTTTGGGAGTGAAGGAAAATTTGAAATCAAATCAGTTTACCATTCTTTCAAGAAAAACAAATTATATTCAGCAACTAAAATATAAACAGTTTTATAAAACTGAATTCTTCAAACATTTGAAATATTTTATCATTTCAGTCTGCCATTAAAGTTATCAAATTTAAATAAATGTTTTTGATGTTGCAAAATGTCACAGTTTTTTTTTTGTCTCCTTCATTTTTCAGTGAAATGCAAGAGTACAGATGTATAGTGTCATCACTTTTTAAAAAAAATGGACAAGATGCATTTGGACAAGTAGATAACTAGACACACGTATATCCGGACATTATGAAATCTGAACTTTGTTACGTCTGGACATGATTGCGTCTGGATTTTTTGAGGTCTAGAAATGATGACATCTGAACATGATGAGATTTGAACATGAAAACATGTAAACTTGATAACATCTGGATACGTTGACATGTGCACCCTGTGACTTCTAAATGTAACAAACAAATCAAATGTCGTATTGAGACATTTATTTAAAATATTATTTTAAGTTTAAGCTTAACTTGTAAACATTTGCAAATAGATTCAATAATTAATCGTTACATTACGAATAATAATGTTTTTTGTGTGTTTATAAAATTGTTAAGTTATTTTTTTAATAATAATTTATGAAAAGCTGTAATTTCATATTAGTTTACAAATTATGTTGTGTTTACACTAAAAATGACTTGATAAAGTCAAAAAAAAAAAATATGTCGTCTATAAGCCTGGTAAGAAATATGATTTAATTTAGTCAAATTTACTCAATGACTTGACCTCCATTTATGTATTGTTGTTTCCCATATTGTCAAGTGAAGACAAAATTATCATTTATTTTTATTTTATTAGGTTGGATTGAGTGTTCACCCCATACCTTATTCCAGGTGTGTCTAGAAGGTTTACTCTAGGAAGGAAGTCGGTCCCGGACTACACTCTTTTTTGGGTGACATTTTTTGTCACTTTTCCATGTATTTTAAATGTTTGTTTTTTTGTTTTTTTTTCTGTAACTGTGTATGCTGTATGTATGGCAGCTTTCTATTTGATTGTCGAATGAACAATTGTTGATCAACTTTCATGCCAAGATATAGTTGATGATAATTGCCTATAGAACATTAACATTTGTTAGCTTCATTAATTGTGTTTGCTCCATTTCAGTCAAATTCTTTGAGAAGATCTTAAATTTCAAATCAATGTATTCAATTACTTTATTATAAAACATTATAAATGTCCTTTTAATTAGCAGTATTAAATTAATGAAACCATTACGAGCATAATTAGTTGTAAATAACTGTTGGGGAAAATTCACTTAGTTTTATACTATCCATTCAACCAGACAAGTCCATTCTTGAGTTTTAAACTAACCATTCAATGGTGACATATTCACCACATGTCACACAAGTTAGACATTCTTGACTTTTAAACTAACCATTCAATGGTGAAATATTCACCACATGTCACACAAGTCAGACATTCTTGAGTTTTAAACTAACCATTCAATGGTGATATATTCACCACATGCCACACAAGTCAGACATTCTTGACTTTTAAACTAACCATTCAATGGTGACATATTCACCACATGCCACACAAGTCAGACATTCTTGACTTTTAAACTAACCATTCAATGGTGACATATTCACCACATGCCACACAAGTCAGACATTCTTGACTTTTAAACTAACCATTCAATGGTGACATACTCACCACATGCCACACAAGTCAGACATTCTTGACTTTTAAACTAACCATTCAATGGTGACATACTCACCACATGCCACACAAGTCAGACATTCTTGACTTTTAAACTAATCATTCAATGGTGACATACTCACCACATGCCACACAAGTCAGACATTCTTGACTTTTAAACTAACCATTCAATGGTGACATACTCACCACATGCCATACAAGTCAGACATTCTTGACTTTTAAACTAACTATTCAATTGTGACATAATTCACCACATGCCACACAAGTCAGACATTCTAGACTTTTAAACTAACCATTCAATGGTGACATATTAACCACACCCACACGAAAAAAAATAATACTTATAAATAGAATAACTTATTTTTTTTCTTTTTTTTTCAGAGTCGGGGGACCACGAGAAAAAATATATGATATGTTAAAGTGGGACAGAGGAAAAATAAAGATTGAGATATTATTATTATGCGTGGTTTTATATAGCGTGGTACCCCAGCCTAGGGCTGGGCTCACCACGCTGTACATACAGCCTAGGGCTGGGCTCACCACGCTGTACATACAATTTAACAAACATAATAAAAAATCTGAAAAAATTAATTGGCACACATTAATTAAATAAAACAAAACAATTGTATATATCAAACTATTTACATCTCAAGCCATGGACCACACTCAGTACCATCGTTTTACGGTCAGAGGTGGGAATGAGTCAGGATAGCAGAGATTAAATAGATGTGTTTTGAGTGCAGTTTTGAAGGTTGTGATGGTCGGTATATTGCGGATGTGCAATGGAAGAGAATTCCATTGTTTGGGTGCACAGAAAGAGAACGATCGTTCACCGTATGTTTTTGTGCGAGTCTTGTGGACAGAAAGAACACGCGCATCTGCGGTGGAACGAAGCTGTCGAAGGGGTGAATAGACAGAGAGAAGTTCTGTTAGATAGGAAGCGGATACTTTGAATTTCAACTGAAGAAATTGCTTCTTTTATATATATATATATATATATATATATATATATATATATATATATATATATATATATATCCATAAAAATTGTAAAAATGTATGCCATACATTTTAATATAATATAACTCTATCATTATTAAACATGTATGAAGAAATTTTGAAATTAACGATATCATCAATCCATTGTCATTCTGAGAATCCTATTAAGGAGTCTACTTATAAGTCTGTGTCAAGACCAGACATAAATAATAAGTCCTTGAAAGTTGTCTAATCAACTATATTTTTTTTTAAAAAGCCTTACATTACAGATAAATAATTAACAAGACCTCATGAATACGAGTCAATCTATTTGTCCATTTAGAAAGAAAACAGTTTTTTTTAGCAATTCAATTGTGAAGAAATTATTCTAGTTGGTATGGAATAAAGCATGTACAGTATAGTATTATGGACGCTGGTGTCATTTAATTTCTCATCACTGACAAAAACTACGTTTAACAAATCGTGATCATATCAAACATGATAATATCAAACGGTTGTCATATCAACCGTCCAAATGTGATCTATTATAGCGTGATCTATTCAGGTCCTTTTTGAAGAAAAATCTGAATATAAAAAAAAAAAACAACAGAAAATTGTAAGATATCATTGTTGTAATATATCGCTCTTGTAAAATATCACTTTTGTAATATATCACTGTTGTAATATATCACTGTTGTAATATATCACTGTTGTAATATATCACTGTTGTAATATATCACTGTTGTAATATATCACTGTTTTAAGATATCACTGTTGTAATATATCACTGTTTTAAGATATCACTGTTTTAAGATATCATTTTTCTAATATATCACTGTTGGTTCTCTCATTTCGACTTTCGCTGAGCATTATGACCATAGACATAGAGATATATAGACCGACTATCGGCAGTAATCCTTGAAGCCGAGCTGGAGAGTCATTTCCCTTTACCATGCACCCCATGGTTGTCTCGCCAACAGAACGTCCTCGGTACATTTCCATAATTTCAGAGTGAAACTACGGCTTGGTTCGAGCGATCAACATTAAGATAATACTCAAATAAATTATCTGCATGATTTTTTATTTTGCCTAGTGATAGTCCCCCACAAAGGGATTCTCATATTACTATTATTACTATGATCAACAGAGCATGGAATATAATCTAGTAGTATTAGTATGCCATATATATCAAATTAATTACGGTATATATTTTAATTTTTTAAATATTATTTATTTATATTACTATCTTATAATTATAAAATTTTTAACCTAGGTTATTGACGTTAACTATTGAGACAAACTAAAAGAATTGTACCGTGTGTTCCAAATTTCGTTTTGATATAAACTAATAAATATAGTAATGATATAATAATATACATTTTATATTTGTTATTTCCTCTGCCATAATAATAAACTCATATCTATTGTGAAGTAAATTTTAAATAGTACTTTAAGATATGTCATTTGCTGAAATGCTTCTTTCCAAGATCAATACAAGCTGCCCTTTCCATTTTTACATTGCCTACAACTACAGTGTAAATCTACTTACCCTCCAGCAAGTAGGATACACCCAGTAATATTAAGTACCGGTATTCTAAATGAAAATTTCATAATGAATTCAAATTAAATTAAACTATTCTCCTAAATAGAGATTGGCTTAAATCAGAACAAAATCACACATTTTTAAATCTATATCTATATTAATAAAGAAATCAGGAGAAGGGTCAATTTTTAGTTTTAGACGACAGGAAAGTGAAGTTTTGGCACCCGCTATCTTCTAAAATAATTAAGTTGGAACTTTCAAATCTCTTGCACACACAACCAGTTATACATATAACAAACTCAATTGTATCAGGATTGTCACTAAAATGTAAATACAATTTTTATTCATCCGAAAACGAGCCAAAGCTCAATTTTACAAAAAAATCAATTTTAGTCTATTTTAAAAAAAATCATAACTAATCAATCAATTAAGCTATTCTAAAAATACAGGTTTCAAGTAAAAGGTAATTTAAAGCACATCAATGTGAAATATAATTTAATGGTGAAAACAACAAAATATGTTACAGAAATTATTTCAGCACTGCCTGTTCACAAAAACTAAGAATTTCATAGATTTAAAAAAAATCATTAAAAAATTAACGAGGTGTCCTGGGGAGGTGTCCTGGGGAGTGTCCTGGGGAGGTATCTTGGGGAGGTGTCCTGGGGAGGCGCCCTGGGGAGCCACAGACACATGAATGGAGCGCTGCAAATTGTTCAACAATTTTCATCGTTTTTTTTTTTTCATTTGCCACTTTAATGTTACAGAAAACGCCATCTTGCAGACCAGGTGCGAACCTGTACTCACTTAGTAATACATTCAGGCAGAAGTCTCTACGAATGGTTACTAGATGTAATATTTCTCAGCGAAATTGTTAAATTTTCACACAGAGGATCTTAGGAAAACGATGTTTCAGCATTTTATGTTTCTAGGAATAACAGGCAGTGCCAAAACATTTTTTAAAAAATGAGTTCAAGAAAACTGTTAGTCTTTTAATCAGTGTATGAAGTCATTTTATTAGTGTATGTTAGTCATTTGATCAGTGCATGGGTGTTCTTTGATCAGTTTATGTTATTCCTTTGATTAGTGCATTATTTTCACTCCAGGACGATATGCTGACCACTTAACCTCTATAGAGAATGGACATGTTCAAACATCTCTTACAGCAAAAGCTGGACGCGTTTTCACATTCAGGGCAGTTTAAGGGGTTTACGGAGCTATCGACACAAATATGCAACCCACCCTCCCTTCCACAACAACCCCCACGCAATCCCCACCCCACGGGCATCAATGTCCGCAGGCAAACATCGAATGTATCACGTACAAACATGAAATTTCGGGCCCCTAGGTAGGGCTGTCACGCCCCCCCTCCCCCCAGGTCTGAGCCTCAAAAATTTTTTTAGGCTTTATGAGAATTACAAAAAAAATTTGACAGATCGTATACTGTGTACTGTTGTCCACTTAAATAAGCT